TTCTCTCTGATACATTCATATATGTCAAAGTTGTATGTTGACAGATGAAATATGTTTACGGTGTTCTAGCTCAAAAGTCACCAATCATTCTGTCAGTTATACTGAAGTAGCTGGTAATTAATAGGAGTTTGTGCATCTCATAATCGGTTTTCCAGCAATTACACTTTTCTACCACTAGGGTTACTGCCTATGCATGGTGAGGAGTAGTTCTAAATATACATGCACAAGAAAAAAACACAAATAATGTTCTATCTGTGAAAATGTGTACATGCGTATCTGTGGGTATGAACCACTTTCACATCATTTTGTACAACATTTCTCTGTGCAGGAACTTTTAGAGCCATTAAACTCTTCAGACGTCTGGTTCCTATCACCACCACTGTTTTGAGTTGGTACGTTTCGATAGGATGGACCATTTCACGTCAAACCCTCTCCTCACTGGATGATGTCCCAACAGCTTGTCAGAGAAATTTCACTGTTATTGAGTGATTATTTTCACTGTTTCTGGACGGAGCTAACTCCAGCTAGAGCAGTTGGCCTAGTTGGCGGATAAAGTCGCACCGGAGGCAGCTGTGCTATCTCTGATTTCTCAGTCATGTCCTACACAGTGCATCCTTAACCATGAGTGCTTTACAGCTTGTTTACGTTCAAACACTTGTGTTTTCTCATCATAGCAAAGTGTAATATACTTATTTGCAAAATTATCATATTTTACAGTCATGCTAAAACATAAAATTGGCATTTCACTGAATGTTTTAATGTTTCAATGTTGAAATACTGGCATTTCGCTTGGTTAGCTGAGTACTCGAGTACGCATACCCGGTAACAACATCGCGGAGAAGTTGAAACATGCAGCCGCTGTTGCTCTCACTGGACGACAATGAAAATGCGTTCACTTTGTTTTTTCATTTATTTTCATGTTGAGGTTGTAAACCCCTCTGTCCACACATGAAAACAAAGATGCTGAATTACTGAGAGTAATAAATACATTCTGATGAAGCTTATTCTGTCCACTCAACAAATCGTGCTGCTTTTTAAATGGGAAAAATGTACTTTGGGGTCAATTTGAGCGATTAAGACAAACACAATTAAATAACTGCAAATAATTATGTTTCTCATTTGACAGCCCTCGTTTTTAATTACTTTTAAGCTATTATCTAGTAAGATAATCAACATCTGGATTTCCAGCCAGGTTATAAGCCAAGTAATAAGCCTTAGCATTAATACTTGAATAATAAGCCTAGAGTTTAAAGTGTTAAGCACTTTCCTCGCCCCTGGACTTAGCTTTGACTTATAGCAGTGACAGGCTTTTCCAGTCAGTGGATTTTCCATGGCAGTGCACGTGCCGGTTTCTTTATGGGCCCTGGAGAAGGCTGTGTGTCTGCAGCACGGGGCCGGGGGCCATAAATCCTGGCCCCTCCAAACCCCACACAGCTCTTACTGCACCCCGCTGTAGCCCGGACACTTCTGTCTGACCTGCTGGGCCATGTTCAATGGCTGTGAGCAACACCCCGATCATTTAACTCAGCACAAAAGCCTTTCTTATAGTGACTGAACAAGCAGGAGAGAGAAGAGGAACTGTTTTTAGCTTTCCAGCTTTGGTCCATGACCCCCTGTGGTGTATATGTGGTGTATATGGTGCTTCTTGCATTGTTACTTATTTGTAAGCAAAAGTTTTTTGCCAAAAGAAAAAATGTGGGACTGTTTACAACTGTGGAAGCCCTGGTAGATGCTAAAACTGCCCCCTTCAGATAAACAGCACTTAAAGCTTTCATCTCTGAGAGAGAGGAGAAAATCAAGCTGCTTCAGATCTGAAAACATCCACAGGTGTTTCTGTCCATCCTTCCACTGTGAGAAGACGACTCAGCGCTGTGGGTCTGAAAGGATGTGTAGCTGTCAAGAAGAACCTCACTGAGAAAGAAAATGGATGGGGAAAATAAATGTTTTATGGACTGCTGAGTCCTCATATATCACATTTTGAGACTGCATTGATCGCGAGAAGCAGAAAATGCAAGCAACTCCTAAGACTGAACTTTGGAAGTTTGAAAAAATACCTGCAGATTTGTTTGAGAAAATGAAAGCAAGTCTTCTGAAGTAATGGAAGCTGTAGTAAAAGCAAAAACAGACACGCAAAATATTATATTTAGTTGTGAAGCTCCTGTGTTTCTTTATGTCTTCTGCTTTATTAATGACATTGAACCATGAATAACTTGACCATTTTGCCTGGAAATGAAATAAATATAGGGTGGTCTCTGACTTTCACACAGGAATATGTTTGTTGTATAATATACAGGTAACACTCTCTTTTACAGTCCCCTAAGTTCTAGGTATTAACCAGGTAAGTGTGGGGTACAAACTCCAAAGTACTTGGTAATTATTTTAGGTGACAAGATGGTAAGTAGCAGGTTAGTCTAAATGAATTACTATGAAACGTCTCACAGGTTCTAGATCAGGCCTGTGTGCCTTGTGTTTGACACATGGGTACTAGATTGTCAATATTAGAGGGAATGTATATGTGTGTTATAATGTATTTACCTGTAACTTCAAAAGAATAAACAGAATGTAAGTCGGAGCTCAGCTCACTCGAATCTGTAGAGTCTTAAATAGTGTGTATCTGTTTATTACCTAGATACTAAACTGAATCTGAACTGTAAAAGAAAGCAGGGACTCTTTCTATGGTTTTACTGGGTTCTCACCACAGAAAAATTGCCACTTGTTATGCAACTGTAAACAGACTGTAAGAGAAAGCAGGATTTGTCACAATAGTAATACCTGTTTAATAAAACCTTTTGACAACTCCGTATTTTGACACAATAATTCCTGTACATTACAGTGTACAATATAGTACAAGAATATCTTAATTCCTACACCTTACTGTTTAGTTCTTTTCACATAATTTCATAATAATTTATTTAGACTATCCTGGTAATTACCATCTTATTACCAAAAATAATTGCCTAGTACTTTGGAGTTTCTACCTCACACTTACCTGGGTAATACCTAGAACCTGTGACACATTCCATAGTAATTCTTGTAGACTATCCTGGTACTTACCATCTTATTACTTAAAATAATTACCCAGTACTTTAGAATTTATACCTTTATACCTAGAACTTGTGAGACATTTCAGTATAATTAATTTAGACTATTCTGCTGCTTACCATCTTGTCACCTAAAATAATTACCTAATACTTTGGAGTTTGTACCCCACACTTACCTGGTTAATACCTAGAACTTAGGGGACTGTAAAAGAAAGCGTTACCAATATATACAGCACCCCTGGTCAAACGACCATGTTTTGTTGATTTTATTTATTTATTTATTTATTTATTTATTTATTTATTTATTTATTTATTTATTTATTTAAGTGAAAATAAGTCAACATATCCTCTACAGATTTTAATCCACAATTACTGTTTAACCTGTTTAACATAAAATGTGGTCTGTATAAAATATTTGGTACATTTGTATTTATATGTTGTATTTATTTTCAGTATGTTAAATTCAGCAAACAAGTAGTGTGCACTAAAATCTTAAGAAAAATTTATGAAATAAAATTTATTCCCTGTGGAGGATGTGCTAACTTACCTATATATATATATATATATATATATATATATATAGAGAGAGAGAGAGAGAGAGAGAGAGAGAACAAAATAACTGTAATAACTCTAATGTTTAAAACTGTGCACTTTCAAAAAACTGTGCATTGTGTCCTCTCCAGAACCTCTCTGCGTGCATTAAGCCGTCATCTACATGCAAAAATATGCATTACTTAGTACACCCAAACACCAAATTAAATCCCTTTACAAACAAAGGCAGCAGTTGTGTACAGCATACTTGTGGTATTTTTTCGCGAAGAAGCGGCTCCTGTTTCTTTTCCTTTATGTAACTTACAAGACGGGTTTTGGTTTTCGTAATTAGTCTGACTTCCTGTGGCGGAGGATGCGGTGAGGGAAGCCATTTCTGGCCGCTTCTGGCTCGACGGTTTGCGTGGTGAGGTTAAAGCCTAAGGACAGTGTCACAGAGCCTCAGAGCCATGGCTGGAAATTCCCTTCGTTCTGTTTACTGGCCCAGTCATGAAGTCGTTTCCATCACTCTGTAGTGCTACTGCTAGATGCCCTGTGTCACTCCTGTTTTTCCATTGTGTACTTGTAGCTATGGGTAGCTTTCAAACTGTTTGTGTAGCACGTCTGTAATTGGATCGTGAACATTCATCCTGTTCGTTGTTTTGGTGACCATTTATTTTGATGGCCCGGTCTGGTTGCTTCGTAGATGCTTATCTTGTCTTTATCCCTTTAACGTTAATGGGTCTGTCAGCGGGTTCAGCCTTTTATTTCTCATTCTTAATGAATAATAACACCGTTATTTTGCATTGTTTTCTATGTGCTCCTATAATAAGCACTAACTTGTGGGTTAATTAGCTTACATTGTGAAATTACACTGTATGTTCAAAGGTTGACACCTGCTCATCCAACGTTTCTTCTGAAATTAAGGGTCTTAATAGGAACTTTGTCCCCACTTTGCTGCAGCAACACCCTCTACTGAAACAGCCTCTGTTGAAACATTGCTAAAGAGTTGATTGCATTCAGCCCCAAACAGCATTAGTGAGGTCAGGTACTGATGTTCAGTTCTGGGTCATAACTGTTACTCCGACTCACCCTAAAGGTATTGGATGGTGCTCAATCGCTCTAGAGAATGCAGTTCCACCTCTGCAGTGTCTACAGCCCAATGCTGGGGGCTTTGTACTGCTCTAACCGAGGCTTGGCTTTGGGCTTTGTGACCTTAGACCTCATGTGCAGCCGCTTTTAATCTTCCCATTGTATTGGCAGTGCTTTTCTATGGAGATCCTGGTCCTAATTCTAGTCTTAACCATAACACTCAGTTCAGTTCAGTTCAGGATAGCTTGATAAGTCCCATATTGCCAAAGCAGATAAAGGGAATCTTTTACATTGTAACTATATTTTTTCTAATTCTATCTCTCCTTGTTTATGTTTCAGCTCCCTCTGCAGTGTCTATAATGCACCAGGTCAGCCGTACAGTGGACAGCATCACTCTGTCTTGGTCCCAGCCAGACCAGCCCAACGGGGTCATTCTGGACTATGAGCTGCAGTATTATGAGAAGGTATGTAATTTGAATAAAGTGTTGAACCATAGGCCAGATGACTTCTCTACAAGTGACCAGGCATGTCCTGTGGGAGTAGCTGACATTAAGCTGCGATTTAGCAACAAGTGACATGATAACAGGGTGACAAGTGACAAATTAAGCTGAGATTTTCTCAACTTTATGCAAATGAATTATAACACATTGAAGTGAAAATCCACACGACAGTTTTTTCTAACCGATCGTACGCACAGGTTGCCCGAGGTCCCCAGTCTCTACTCTATTAACTTTTTCTTCCCACAGGCATTTGATTCCTATTCCTCATAGTGTCCAAAAATGGACATTTTTAAACTGGTTTAAACAGTGGTCCCAAAAAATCTGTCTTATTACATGTCTATAACATAAGAGTAGCTCAGCCAGTTTGCATAGAAGTCCAGGTAGCTACAGAATAATAAGCCTTAGTATGTCATAAGCCTGGGATTTTGCAAGGTTAACCATTTAACCAGCGGTAAACATGAATGAAGTTCATTAGGTTACTCCATAAAATGTTTAACAAAGTCATTTTTGTTTCGGAGAAAAACACTTTTAGTCAACATCAGACTGATGATAGATTCTTGGCAAAAGTTCTGACTGGTGGTATAAAACTTTTAGAAGGCAGTGGTCAGTAATTTGACATTTTAATAACATCTTTAGACAGCAGTTGCCAGTAATGTTTGTTTATTTGAGCTCTACAGTGAAGCAAGATAGCTAATCAGCCAATTCTGTGAAAAGCATGTAAATTGCTGGTAAATTGTACTGTGGATTGAATTTAACTAAACAACTTTTTTTACAGTGTAATAGTGTATAGTTATAGTAGTAGGCCTACTTTTATATAACTTAGTGACATTAAAGATCAGATGAGATATTCCTTTATTAGTCCCACAAAGAGGAAATTCACAGTGCTACAGCAGCAAATGGAGAGCAAGAGTATTAATTACTTAACAAGGTTACACTTTTTTTACTTGTTACTATATAGACAATATATATGTAATAATGAAGATAAAAAATGTAAGATATAAAATGTAAACTTGTTCCCTTATCCTTCACTCTACAATAAATAACAACATAACAACATGAACAATTATAAATAAAAAAGCAAAAAATATATATATTTACACTGTACGGATGTGCACAGTTGGCTAGCTTGAAGCATTTACATAAAAATATTCATATTTCAGTGACTTAAACCATGACATTCCAGGTAAAATTGTTCCTAGAACAAAATGTATAGACTTTGGAATATTTTTCTGTACTACAGAGGGCAATGAGGCAATTTTCGAAGACGCCATTCAGTGCCTTAGACTTGGAGTCCTTGTCGACACAAAATGACGCACGACCTTAGAGGTCTATTCACAATCAGTTAGTTGCATTTCTAGAGGCAACCACATTCCCTTTTGGCCTAACGCATGCTGTTGGTGAACATTATCATAAGCATGCATTATGCATTATTATATTTGCATCTGTCCTACATAATGGTGGTCTATAGTCATGCACACAAGATACAGCAGTGGAGCTGAGCCACGTTGTTTTGCATGTGCATTCTGTCTATGCATGATTGCAGGTTCATAGAATTGTATATTTGAGGGTGCTGGCTTAACTACTGATCCATCGAAACCCATTATAATCACGGTCAGTCACCGGGACAGGAAATCACAGCGGACCCACTGGTTAAGCCCGTTGAGGTTAGGTGCAGGGATTTGTGGTCAAAAACAATGGAGCGTTGACTGCAATAAAAACAGCATTTTTGAAACAAATTCCTCTGTGTATATTTCTAGAAAACACACATTTGCAATCGCATACACAGCCTGTCTTTCCTTATCACTCGCGCAAAAGAACGCGTGCCAACACAAACACACGTACGCGCTCCCATGCGCGCTGTAAAACCCAACGGTGGGTTTACTGGAGCGATTTATGCTTTGAGATGCTGTAAAACCTTATAAAATAAATACACATCTAGGAAATATATAGTAGATGGAAAGGCATTCTAAATATCATAAACTGGATTCTTTTCCAATAAATTTTTTTTTTTTGTTGAACTCTTCACCTTAAAGGGGAATTCCACCAATCTTTTTCAAAATGTGGTTGTAATGAAGTGGTTAAGATGTAAACAACATCAGTAGACATGAAATACTTCATTGTAGAGAAACTTGCAGAGTCAGAATTGTTCACAGTGGTGGTGATTGGAACCAGACATCTAAAACATCTAATGCACACTGAAAGCTCCCACACAGAAAGTTATTACATGACTGGTTATGAATATGTCGCAAGATTCCTGAGAAAAGTTTGGACAGTCCTGGTCAAATTACATGTGTTGTTGATTTTGATCTTCTAAGTAAAAATAAGGTCACATCCTCTACAGGGAACAGACTAAAAGGGCCTCTGTTATACTTTTTTTGTATATTATTTTTTATTATTTTTTCTCCCTCAGGTTTTTTTATGCTATTTATGTGGTTTTATGTACCAAAAATGCTGTTTTTGGTACTGTGCCTTTAAGACTGATATATGTAAGTTAGCTCTGTTCTGACTGGCTGCCATATTTTGCACCTCGCTTCATAAACCCCTTCAAACTGAAACACTCCTTATATAACTTTAATGTGAAGGGGTGGAGCTAAACTACTTTAAGCTGAATATGTGGATATATGTAAATATGTTGTTTTTTGTGACATCACAAAAATGACACACAATTTATCACTAAACCACTCTAAAGGACTTTACATCTCAACCACTAAACTTTGCAGAAATTTTGAAAAATTTAAGGTAATACCTCTTAAAGAAGACGTGATCTTTCAAGTTATGAACCAAAATTAAGTGTTTTCATGCTGCTATAAAGGTTTACATACAACTTTTGGTGACATTGTTTTTATTCTCTTAATGCAAATCATGTTTTAAGAAATGATTAAAGTGTGATGATTGCGTTATGCAGAAAAGAATTCCCCTTTCAGTGTAAACAGATCTTACCATAGAGCTGGTTTATAGCTTAAAGTTGATGCTGTATTAACTCAGTTATGGGCTTCAGGGTCAGAGTGGGCCTTGTTTTCAGACCGAAAGTTACATGATGTGGACCAGCCCACCCTGATCTCTACACACATGCATACACACTCACACACACAGTATTGCCTTAATGCAAAATAACTTTTTCTTACTTCATTTTTTATTCTTATCTCTTATTTATTATCATTATTTTATAAGCTGCCCTGAGATGGCCAAGCTGCTAGCTTTTGATAAAATAAAAAATTGGCAAAAGCTTTTATCTTAAATTTGACGTTATCTTGACAGTCAGTGGCCTATAAACTAATGGTAACTAAGTAAGTTAAGGTCAGCGTTTCTCACTGCCCACCTGCTCGGATATGTCCTCATCCTCTTTAAGTAGCTTTTTCATTCTTGTCTTCTCAGTTTCCTTCACCTTGTTATTTGCAGTTCTTGCCACTGCTGTGCATCTTCACATGATTCCCATATGAAAATTGCAGCGACTGCAGAGCTCAGCCTGTACCAGATTCACACATTGGCACTCATCTCTCAAGGCTGATGTTTGCTTCTTATTCAAATTTCCGTCCCATCTTAAATAGTGCAGCAGTTACATACTAGCACCCTTACAGGCATCTGAACTCAACTGCTGCATAATTTAAGGTGGAACAGGAAACACAAAAAGACAATAAGACGCAGCTTCATCTTATCTCTATCCACTGTACAAGAGTTACAGTTAGCAAACCAGAGCGGTACCACTTGAGGTGGGGGGGTGCGGGGAGTTATACTATTGTGATATATATATGACTTTATATCACAGTAACCAGCCCAAAATGTCACTGGCCCACTGGGAGTTCCCCAGACTCTCACAGTTACCCACTCTGGCATTGGGTGGTTTTTAATTGATTTAATTGTGGATGCTAAATATACAGCAACCAGCCACTGCATTAAGACACAGCAGTGATGCTCGAGTTTTATACACTGTGTCCACTCACTGTCCACTCTATTAGACACTCCTACCTTGCTGATCCACCTTTTAGATATAATAATAGCTCATCTGCTGCTGCACAGTTTGTGTTGGTCATCCTCTAGTCCTTCATCAGTGTCACAGGACGCTGCCCACAGGACGCTGTTGGCTGGATATTTTTGGTTGGTGGACTATTCTCAGTCCAGCAGTGACACTGAGGTGTTTAAACACTCCTGTGTCTGATCCACTCGCACCACCACAACATCAGTGTCATTGCTGAGAATGATCCACCACCCAAATAGTACCTGCTCTGTGAGGGTCCATGGGGGTCCTGACCATTGAAGAACAGGGTAACAAAGTATGCAGAGAAACAAATGGACTACAGTTTGTAACTGTAGAACTATGGAGTGATACTGTATGGTCAGTGGAGCTGATAGAATGGACAATGAGTATAATTTATAGATGCAGTGTGTACAGATAAATTAAGTTGTGTCGAATGAATTGAGGCAGCAATTTTCCATAAACTATTTCGGGTAAACTAAATTATTGAGTTTTAAAGGCTGTGCAGGCGCACACACACACACACACACACACACACACATACACACACACACACACACACACACACACACACACACTTAGATAGTTTGACAGACTCTTCTGCTTGTTGTCTCGCTTTTTTGTCTCATCTCTCTCTTTTTGCTCTTTTACTCTTTTATACATTCACACACACACACACACACACACACACACGCACACACACACACACACACACACACGCTCAGTCTCCTGAGCTCTGCTCTCTTTCCTCAGTATAATTCCTTTCTCAGACACTGCTGTCAAAACAGCCTGGCAGACACTGCAGAGCTCATATCAGAGCGTGGAGAGAGAGGGAGCTGACGGGAGCAGCCAGCATCTCACACACACACATATTCACGGTTTTAAAGTGAGCTTCCATCTCTCATATGCAAAGATACCAGAATCTAAAAGTTGGGAATCACTCGTCACATTAATAACTTATGTTTTCATTTCATATGCAGTAGCTCATCGTCGCTGTTGGTATAAACTCATATCACCAAAACGGCAACTTTACAAGAGAAAAATACTCTTTACTTTCAATGGAACTGAATGTAAAAAGGTTCTATTCCAAGTCATTTTGGAATGGTTCTGTTGGTCCAGTGTAAAGTCCAGCTGGCATGTTCAAATGATGTAAAAAATCAGTGTTGTAAGGTAGTTAGACACCAAAATGAGCGAAATAAATCAGACATTCACCGTTTTGGCTGAAAAAAATAAATGAAAATGTACATGCTTTAGATTCTAAGTGTTAATGAACAAGAATACTTATAATAATGTAATGTAAAGATGTTTTGCTTTTCTATTTATAATGTTTATGGTGTTAATTCCCATGTGTAATATAAATCAGTACCTCATGTGCAATTTGGGTAAAATATCCCTATAGTGTGGATATTTTTTGTTTTTTTTTAATTTATAATTGTTTATATTGATTATTTTTTCGAAGGATAGATTTATATTTTTTATCTTTTTTTTTACCTTTAGTGTTATATATGTTGTCTATATAGTAACAAGTAACAACTGTAAACTTAGTATTTAATAAGGTTAATTACTTTGTTTGTTATTTCTCTTCTTGTTACTCTTTTCTTGAGTGTCCTGCTCTCCCTTTACTGCTGTAGCACTGAGGATTTCCTCGTTGTGGGACTAGTAAAGGATTATCTTATCTTAAGAAGAAAAGAAAAATATCTTGTCGACTTATCTGCCTCTAGATTTGACCACTTTGTAAATATGAGGCATTGTGGGTGTTGTTTATAGGGGCAATATGACAATATTTATTGTCATCATGATAAATTGTGTCACATTGTGTCACAACATGCTTTTCTGAGCACATCAACGATGTCATCAGTACTTAAAGAACACTGACCAACCGCATGTGTGCACAGTTCATAGTTTTTGTTGGTATATTTTAAATTTTTTTGTCTGTTTCAACAAAACTAAATAGAGTGATGTTTTTTAGTCACATGCAGAACTTTAAATTCCCTCAGTCTGTTTGCAGGTTTTGCTGATTTTCTAAATGAAGATAAGTTAAAAAGTCCTCTACAGAGAACTCACTTCTGTACATTTTAGTGCACAATTTCTGTTTGTTTGCAAAGTGTAACATATTAAAAAAATAAATTATACAGTGCTAGAATCTTTGCACAGTCCACTTTTTTTCAATGTGTTAAATGAAAAAAATAAACTAAAGTAATTTTGCATTAAAATGTACAGTAATGTGTTCTCTGTATAGGATGTATTACCTTATTTTTACTTGGAAAATCAACAAAACTGTGATTTGACCAGGGGTGTCCAGACTTTTTATACGAGTATCGCCCATTATTGTTTACAGCTTCCTATTAATTATATGAAACGTGAAATTCTAGCATATTAGAATCATTTTAATCCATTTATCTGCAGCCAACGTGCTTTTGTATTATTCAAAACATTGGTTCCAAACCTACGAACGGTAGCGTAAGCAAACAGTGTCTCACATCCCAAACACAGATAAACACTCCGAGCGTTGCTATAGCTTCAGCCTCCGAACTAATGAATGATGACTGGCCTGGAAGTGTCAGTGCCTGGCACCCAGCACAGACTTCTCCTGAAGGGTCTTCATCAGTTAGCTAGCCTGTCTAGCTCTGTTAGTGAGCCATATGTAACTGTGATAGTGCCCCAACCCTGCTGATGCCTCATAGTGTGCTCAGATGAAAGACTCAGACCAAAAGCCATCGGTCAATGCACACTGCGTTAATTAGAGCTGTAACAGTACTACGAATAATCGTTGAAACGCAACTGCTAAACTTACTATAGTTCAATAAATAAATGAATAAACAAATGAGTGACAGATGAACATCAGATGAGCTGTTAGTTTACATACCTGGGTTATTGTGTTTGTGCAGTTATTGTTACTTACTGTTATTGCTTTCATACTTAATAATAAAAATAAAATCAGTGTGGCCGAGGTTCCCACGTAATACCTATAGACGGCAACAGCTATGAAGAGCCAATAACCTTGCAGGGCTTCTTCTGTAGCTCCAATAGCCGGCTTGGCATTTGCTGCAGATGCACCATGGCAGAGATATGACCAGTAGAGATATGAGTGAGATATAAGTGATATCATGATACATATACACACAGAAGTGTATTCCCTGTAGAGGGTGTGTTAACTTATTTTCACTTAGACAGTTAACCAAACATGCCATTTGACCAGGGGGAGCCAAACCTTTTACAGTATTTCAAGGTTTAATCTGAAATGTATCATCATAGAGAAACTTACCAGGTCAGAATGGTTCACAGTGGTGGTGATAGGAACCAGATGTCCACCTCTAAAAGAAAGTTACTACATTAAACTTTTTTTAATTCACTGCCTGATGACTGAGACTTTGTTTTAAGAGGCCTAAAAAGTATGTTTAATTACATTCATGTTGGAGGGAAAGGGTATGTGCGGGGTACTGTAAGGCAAAATAGTCCCCGAAGAGTTTATTCTTTTTTTTTTTAGATTTAACTCTTATTTTATCATCATCAACATTACATATAAAACTCTGAAGACACGTGTAGGTTTACTGGTGGTTTTGGACAGTAAATAAATGGCAGTATTCATGTTGCTGTGACCCCTGGTTCCTATCACCACCACTGTAAAGAAATCTGGGTCAGTAAGTTTCTCTACAATGAATCTTTTCACATCAAACCACTCTGAGTGACTTTGTTTACATCTCAACCTTTGAATTATGTAGAAATTTTGAAAATTCAGTGGAATTCCCCTTTCAGCCTAAGCCTAGACTAAAATTAATTTCCCATGGTAAAGCTGGTAGCATACTTTAAACGGCCAAAGAACTCTAATATTGAAATACTGGCAAACAAACAGTGTAGCACTGTTAGAATCTTGATCCGTGCAGTGCACCAGTGACAGTCAGGGGGAGGTGTCAAATGACCAACACGGTAATTAGCACCAGTCAGAGTCAAAGGGACGTCTCAAAAGGGAAAAAACAGGGACAAAAAGATCTTTTGCTTTGAAATGTTGTTTTTCACACTGAAATTTAGTCCAGAATTAAGTTTAGTCCATGTCCAGAAATGTGTTCACACATCATTTTTCTGAAAGTTCCTCCTCTTTCTGTACATAATGCAGGACCAGACGGAGTACAACTCCTCCATAGTGAGGAGTCAGACCAACACAGCCGTTGTCCGCGGCCTAAAACCCGGCGCCATCTACGTCTTCCAGGTTCGGGCGCGGACCGTTGCGGGATTTGGACGCTATAGCGGCAAAATGTACTTCCAGACCATGACAGAGGGTAAGCAGCGTACTCCAATGAAGATAGGAAAAGATCTAAGAGATCTGTCATAATGATTTATGGTGGATTATGAATTTTGCTTATGTCAGATGATGTAAAAGGCTGCCTCACCATCATTCTCTCTCACATGCACACAGACAGGGAGTCTACTGGGATCATGAACTCATGAAATGGACAATATTGTGTTGCATAAAAAAAGGAGTAACAACCATCTAGAAGCCTGAATTTGTCTGTTCTTTTGTCCATTTCTATAGATAAGTGTGTCACACAGCATCAGAAACAACACACGCAATTCTATTATTTGATTATTTAAGAACTCATCACAGTTTGAGGACAAAAGTATGTGGACACTTGACCATCACATCTACATGAGTGTGTTTGGACCTCCCATTCTACAACCAGGTGAATTAATATGTAGTTATTAATATGTAATATCAAACCATGTCCTTATTGACCTCACTTTGTGCACAGGGGTATAGTCATAGTGGAACAGGAAAGGGCCTTCCCCAAATTGTGACCACAAAGATGGAAGCATATAACTGTCTTTGTAGGCTGTAGCATTATTTTTGTGCACTGGAAATAAGGGGCTAAGCCCAAACCCTGAAAAACAGCCCCTGACCATTATCCCTCCTCTACCAAACTTTGATGTTGGGACTGTGCAGCTTCTGGGCCAGGGAAACCCATTTCATGAAGCTCCCAATGCACAGTTCTAGTGCTGATGTTGCTTCCAGAGGCAGTTTGGAGCTCTGTAGCGAGTGACGCAACAGACGATAGGTGATTTTTACATGCTTCAGCGCTACGTAGACCTGCTCTGTGAGTTTGCATGGTCTTCTGCTTTATGGCTGAGCTGTTGTTGCTCCTAGACACTTCCATTTCACAATAGTAGCACTTACAGTTGACAGGGGCAGCTCTTGTGGCAAAGGTGGCGTCCTATGACAGTAGCATGATTAAAGTCACCAAGCTCTTCAGGACGACCCATTCTATTCCAGTGTTCATCTAAAGAGACAAATTGATTTTGATGTAGTCTTCGCCTTGATTTGGCTTGATTTGATTTACATCTGTTAGCAATGGGTGTGGCTGAAAAACCTGAGCTTAATAATTAGGAGGGGCGTCCACATACTTTTGGCCATATAGTGTAGATGATGGTTTAGGCATGACGTTTGCATGGTGGGGTGTAAGCGTCCATCAATAGCTTTGAAACTTCTGTGAGAAAAGCAAACTTCAGACACCAAATATGTCTGGGCTGATCAACTGAATTTGGGGTGAGGAAAAAATTGTGTAAATTAGATTTTTCGTGAAGTTATACCTTTAAAGCAATTCGAGTAGATTGTGCTCTATATCAGGTGTTATGATGTCCTCAGTCCTAACCCTGTAGGTCAACCTGTCTCAGGTTGAGAAGCGAGTGCTGCTTTATCACTTCATCACCAGCATGGATTCAGGGCCTCCTGCTGGAGTTATGCCCTAGACTGCTGGGGCTAAAGCTGGCTAACAGCAGTGGAAACGCTGCTCTCCTCCATGGGTCAGCAGGTCCAGATCCACCTTTCAAATCTGACTGATCTGTGAACAGCTCATTAGCCACACAGCCTGCAGTCAGAATTAGCCTCACATTTGACATGCCTGTGTCACCTGGCCTGGCATACAGATGAGGCTGTGTAACTGCTGTAAATGTCATTTAGCATTAGCATTTATGAGGGAGCAGAATGTATTGTCACATGTTTATGTGGAGGCTTTAGGTCTTACAACAGAGCTGAGATGTCAAAAAATTATTTTGCTGATTTCACGATCAAAGCCTGGCATTTCATACAGATAAAATAAAGTTAGGAAAACCTGTGGATTTCACTTATCTGTTATAACTTATTGTTGATTTTAAGTTTATTACATCCGTTAATTCGGGTTTGACAGAATTCACAATTTTATCGATTTCATGTTTTCGTCCACCGATGTTCTCTCACTACAATACCCAGCATGCTTTACACAAATACATGATGCAGCCATTGAAAATCCCTGTGGTGTCAACCAGTCCTGACTACTAGGCCATTAATCTGTATGCTAATAAATACAACTAGACTAGAATTACCTCTGACCTCAGTCGTCAAACCAAATCAAGACAGAGAAATTAAAGCCAAACTGAGGTCTCCAGATAGCCAGATAGCTACTTGGCTAACTCTAGTTTGTAATCCTCTTCATCAGCCAAGTCTTTTCTGTTATTAATACACTGAATAATCCATTCAGTGTATTGTGATGATGATTTGAAGACAGTTACCACAGTAACAGTTACTCAGCTAGTAAAGTCTTCTGCATTTATTAGCTAATGAAAAAAAACAGCCTCTAAAAATCCACTCGAAAGTTTTTTTTTCTTTCTCAGAAGTATTTCCCACCTTCAAGATACATCATCAGAAGTGAGTTTTCCTAGTCGTTACACTGGAAAACTCATGAGAATATTAGCATTTTTTGTGATTTAATAATTTTATGATTTAATCTATGTAATTGCCTTATATGATTTTATTTTAATTTTCATAATTAATTTTATTTTCTTATTATTGTTTTTTGTGAAACAATTGTAGGTTTACGATAAATATACTGATGATTAAATGTTTACTTTTTTTTATTTTGGCCAGCCTATTCCTTTAAAGGGGAACTCCACTGGATTTTTAAAAGTTAATACATAATAGTCAGTCAGAGTGGTTTAGTGTGAAACTCTCAGTTCTAGAGAAACTTACCAAGTCAAAATTGTTCACAGTGTTGATGATAGGAACCAGACATCTGAAGAGTTAAATGCCTCTAAAACATCAATAAAAGTTAATACATGATGGTTATCAATACACCGCCTGATGTCTGAGACGCTGTTTTTTAATAGTTTTGTGATGAAATTTTGGCCTAAAACAACCTTAACCCTAGATTTATTATCCATTTACCATTATCACCATTACATATTAAAACTCAGCAGACGTGTATAGGTTCACTGGTGCTTTTGAATGGTAACTTAAAAGGCTATATTTGTGCTGTAGACATAGTGACCCCTGGTTCCTATCACCACCACTGTACAGAAATCTGTCAGTAAGTTTCTCTACAATGAACCGTTTCACATCAAACCGCTCTGAATAACTTTGTTTACATCTCAGCCACTGAATTATGCAGAAATTTTGAAAACTCAGTGGAATTCCCCTTTAAGCAGACGTGGTCTTTCATGTTATGAACAAATTCCAGTGTCGCATGCTAATAGGAAGGTTTACATGCAGCTTTCAATGATTTCATCTCTGTTCACTTAATGCAAATCATGTTTTTAAGTAGCGACATGAGTGTAGACAGTGGTGTCGTTACCACTAGGGGTCCTTCGTAAACAGGCTGTGTTCATATCAAAACTGGCAACGGTGAGTTTTGTTTACTCATAATAACAAGCCCTGTCTCCCCAGTCTAATTCAGATGCTCTGAGCGTCTAATGCCAGTCACGTCCTCGCTGGTTGCCTCCGTAGGGCTTCGACAGGGAGTTAGCTGGCGGTTAGCGAGGCTGTTGTGTCTGTGTGGTGCTTGGATAGGCTTTAATTAGGATATGCAGAGAGAGGGAGAGTGTGAGAGTGTGAGAGTGAGAGAGAGAGAGAGAGAGAGAGAGAGAGAGAGAGAGAGAGAGAGAGAGAGAGAGAAAGTTGTGCACTCTCCCTGCATCCCCAGCCGTCTGTCCCACACTGAACACACGTACAGCCTAACACACACTCTCCAACGCCTGCCCATATGCCGGGGGAGCGCTAGGCACAGGCCGTGTCTTCCCTCCAGGCATCAAGACATCCAGCACAGGGCAGCCTGTCCCAGAATCCCCCACTGTGGCCTGCTGGGGGCTGCTGAAGGTTTCTCACCTGCATGAGTCTGCGCTGCAGGCTGCTGTGTGACCCGGTGAGAGTCTCTGCAGAGTCTCTACTGCTGCAGGGTGGATCAGATATAGACACAAACCACTCGGGGTTTATATGGAGGTGTTAACCAGATCCCTGATGGTGTTCATGCCTTAAAGGTTCTATATTCAACATCTTTCTTATAATTATTTCCCCTAAGTCTATTAAAGGTGGAATGATTTCAGTACAGTATTGGAAAGTAGTTCAAAACAGCGTAGCGAGAGATAAAACAGTATCGCCGATACGCCCCTCGCTCTTTTTCTCCTTCATCGTCTTTTCTGGAAACCACTGTCCGTAACCAAAATAGGCATCTGTGTTCATCCTATCAGAGTAAAGTGAGTGGGGAGGGGGAGGGGCTTATGATATGCATGCACGGCCAAATGACTGAGCCTTACTCTGAATTCCCTTTTAAGGGGTTGTGAATTTTGTTAGAAAGCGTAACAGACATGTTTATCAGAGCTGAACCAATCTGTGGACTATATAAGTACGGCTGTGTAGAATCAAGACATTTTTAATGTAAAATATCAAAAAGTGTCTAAACGTTCACCATGTCATCAGGAGATTTAGGTCCCGGGCGATGCCCCATCCATCAGTGGAAATCACCGAGAGCATAACTGGCCTTGCTGTCTCTCAAAGGCCCTCTTTTTCTTCCCAGGACTCTTGTAATAAAAGTTATTGTGACACAGTTTTTTCCAAGTAATTTAGGGCTATTTCTGTTGGTCAGTTCATCATGAAATGTTAACACAAGGCAAAGGATAATTGGAGTTTTCAAACTGTGCAAACAGATGAAAAGCGACAAAAATGGAGATGCAAGGTTTTTGTGTCAAAGCATTGATATTGAAATGACCTCTGTTCTGATTGGCTATTTCCCATCAAAAAAGCAATCCAGGCTGAAATAACATGGGCAAAAATAGACTTCAGCCACTCCTTTCAGTTGCGCAGATCCTTTGAAAGGCTGCAATGATCCTTTGCTTTACAACAGCTTAATGTAGAATGGTTGTCTTTGCATCTTCCACTGCAGTAACTTCAGTACAGACTGTATGCAGCAGTGGGCGGTGTTAGACTGCTGTAGACTGAATAGGTGATGCTATGCAGATGTTTGTTTGTTACATTAATTCTTTTGCAGCTTATTTTGTATGTACGGACTGTGTGGACGGGGCACACGGGACATTACGCTGTGAAAATTCAGTTTTGTGTTTTATTCAATCACATTAATGTAATGTAATGTAATGTCTCTACAGAAGAGTACAACACCAGCATCCAGGAGAAGCTGCCACTAATCATCGGCTCAGCAGCTGCTGGACTGGTCTTCCTCATTGCTCTGGTGGTCATCATCATCGTGTGTAACCGGTGAGTTTGTGTGTTCCGGGCTTTGTTGACCAGGTTTAGGTCGCATTCACATTACAGGATTAAAGCAGTACAGATCAGATTCAAGTCAGTTTTACGTGTTCACTCTAATAGTAGTGTTTATTTATGTAGTACATTTAAAAGAATTCACTGTAAATCAAAGTGCTTCACCATAGTGTCATGAAAGAGATCAATGCATGACAGCATTAAAAAGCAAGAATGTAAAAATACACAAATCTTTACAGTAGGAAAGCATTTTAACTCATTTTACAAAACTTAATACCCACTAACTCCAAAGGCCAGAGAATAAAAGTACATTTTCATCCTTGACTCAGAAGAAATTAAGTTTAGATATTATACTTTTCCAATGTAGGCCTAAAGAGAAGGACTAGAAACATGGAACAAAAACTAACATTCACTGAACATAATCGAAAACAGTTATAAAATAAAGTAACAATTCAATGAAAATTGGTTAAAAACAGCGACAGAATGAAAATAGAAACAGCAGTTTACAGCAGTAAAAGTAACAACCATCTGATATAGTATACTGTGCATGTAGGTTATGAAAATAACAATATATGAGCCACTGTTTATTTTTTCAATGAAACTTATCCATAATGAAAACATAAGTTCAGCTCCTGAAGTCCTAACCAATGGGAGAGCTCACTTGGCTGTATAGATATTGTGGAGATGCCAAACCTGATTGGACGAGTTTCCGTTTTATAATTTTTACTAAAACTTAACAATTATATATGCGTATTACTACAATAGTTCCAGAGTTGAATTACAACAAGGATGGTGATTCTTAAAAAAAAAAAAAAAGAACTACAAATTATGACCTGTGTTTTTTAGTTGTGAGAAATCATTAGGCCTTTTCTGAGGGCAGTGATTGTTCCTCTCTAGTTATTAACCATTTAATCATGTTTTAAAATAAATTTTTCACTATTGAAGTGATCCTGTTTTTGAATACATTATTGAAAAAAATTGTTTTTGTTTTTTTTCATTCATTTAACTTCTTGTTATTCTGGCTAACAAGCATGAATACAGAGTCAGAAAGATCTGATCTGAGAAAAAAATCAGAATTGAATGATAAGGCCTGTACTCTGTGTGATATTCCCAGCCGTTGCACTGCAGCCTCGCCAATAATTAGACCACCAGCTATGCACAATCACAGAGCTGGAGAGTGTTTTCCTGATATCATTCATTAGTGGACTTTACCAGAGCACCACAGCTCGTAAAGACGGCTTTAATGACCTGGACACTGCTGGAGCCGTCCAGTTATTTCCTTTTCTTTACTGCCTTCCTAAGACCACCACTACAGCGTGTTTGTTTGTTTGTCCCACCAGCCGTGGCTTCGAGAGAGCCGATTCGGAATACACGGACAAGCTGCAGCACTACACCAGCGGCCACAGTGAGTGTCCTTACCCTGTTTCATACACATACACTACAGGACAAAAGCTCCGGGACTCACTGAGTTTCGCTGTCATTTTTCAGTTGATCTCTCGATGCTCCGCCCACAAATGCATTCTCTCCTAGCTGCTGTTGCTGGAGCAGACAAGCTGTATAGGAAATCTACACAAGTCAAAGAAATTACTAATGAAAACATTTGTTGATGGGGTGGGGGGAGGGGTATTTATCAGTGATAATGATAAATGATAAACTCCACCCACTGACAAGATTAAAACAACTTTAATTTCAACTTATGATGCAAATTTGACAAAAATTTTTAAATTATGACCAAGCTTCTATGTGACGTGGAAACTGAGTGCAGATGATAACTCAGCTTCAGTGCGTGAAATCAAGCATCAGCCTGCCAGCGCCTCATTTACATATCATTTACATGAAGCACACCCTAATTCATGCAGATCTTTCAGGAGGGAGCAGACAAAGCTACAGAATTCAGCGGCCCGTGATCCAGTGGCTGTGCTTGTAGGTGGAGTCTACTGACCAAACTTCATAGTATTAACACAACAATTAAAAAGAAAAAATGTGAAATAAACAAAACGTCTTAGACGGTACAGTGTTGTGATTGTGTGATGTGGCTATTGACCTAAAATAACATATGTAACTCCCTTTCTCTCTGTCTCTTCTCTCTCTTCGTCTTTCTCTCTTCTTTCTCTCTCTCTCTCTCCAACCCTCCCTCCATCTCTCGCTTTCTTTCTCTTCTTGCTCTTCTCTCTCTATGTCTCTCCTCTCTCTCTCTCTCTCTCTCTCTCTCTGTCACTTTCTCTGTCTCGATCTCTCTTTTCTTTCACTCCCTTTCTCTCTCTCCTCCCGCTATGTCGTTCTTTCTCCCTCACTCCCATCTTACTTCTCTTTCTTTTTCTCTCTCTTTTCTCTGCCTGTTTCTCTTTCCTTCTCTCTCTCATTCTCTCATTCTCTATCTTTCTTTCTCTCTCTTTCTAAATTTCTTTCTTATTCTTTCCCTCTGTCACTTTCTCCTTCTCTCTCTCCATCCCTCTCTCTCTTCTCTGTCCTCTCTCTCTTTTTCTTTCTCATTCTTTTGTCTGATCTCTGCCTTACTCCCCATTTCTCTCTCTCTCTCCCTCTCCCTCTCTCTCTCTCTCTCTCTCCCTCTCCCTGTCTCCCTCTCTCCCTCTCTCTCCCTCTCTCTCCCTCTCTCTCTAGCTTTCTTATCTCTCCCTCTCTCCTCTCTCACTCGCCCTGCTGAATGAAAACGTTCAGGCACTTTTTCCTCCAGAGATTTTTCATTTCTCCGTTGCGGTTGCTTATCAATTGAGGCAGCTTTAGTCTGGTGTAATCAATGGAGGGAGATTGGAGGTAAATGGCGTATTTATGGAAGTCATTTCTGCCCGAGCGTGGAGTGGTGAACTCCGGAAAGCCAAGGCCAGCAGCCGCCCGTCCATCCATCCATCCGTCCATTAACACCCGCTGCACCTCTTCCTCTATCACTCAATTTCACTGCCTTTCTCTCCCGTCTTAAAACGTGAGGCGGCTTTCAGTTAAACAGGCCGGCACTTAGACTCATGGGTGAGGTCACACTGCTTCCGCTCCCGCTGTGACCTATTAGAATCTCCTTTAATAGATAGATCAGTTCTTCAGTGTGGACATAGTGGGGTCTCGAGGAGGTCTACAGAAGAGCGTTGTCGTGTGATTACGCTGAAATGGCGCGTTCTGACCTCGTGCACATCCAGATAGTTTCTCTTTGATTTGATATTTTCAGCTATTAGCCGCTAAACTTTGGAATTCTCTCTCACAGACCTGCACTTCTGTTCCTTTCAAACTCATCTAAAGACGTTTCTCTTTACACTTCACTTCCCTCCTTTCTCTACCTAATACTCAGTGTTAGTAGATCACTTAAGAAATGGAATCCTGGTGCACTGCCAGAAAAAAGTGCTGTGCAGGTACATTTTAGTCCTCCAAGATACAAACACCATAAATATACCCTCAAAGGTAAAAGACGCTCCCTGAGTTCCAGTTGTTTACATTTAATGGATTCCTAATGTACACAACATTCCTTTTCCCAGTGAACAGGGCCATATTTGTAGGAAGGGTTCGATGGAAAATCTAATTTACACAGTTTTCCTCTTTCCCCAGGTGTAGCTAATCAGCTACTGTTTGGTTTCCAAGTGCTTCTTCTATAGTTTAACACTGGAGCTACAAGGCTAACATTGCTAACAACAGAAGTTAATAGTCACCCAAATCCTTTCTGTTAATATGTCCCCTTATAATCTGCTCAAACTACATCCAGGTCTTCATTAATAATGAAGCCTGGAGTTGAGTCAGAGTGAATAATGCAACTAAAAGATATAACTGCAACAGAATGTGGTAGAGTTATGTTCCCTGACTGCTGAAGACGTACGTGTTCCAGTTTTTTCAGAGCGGGTACTCAAACTCCATGACTAAAAGTATTTCAGAGCGCTTAAGGTTTATAGCAGGGGTGTCAAACTCAACCACTAAAAGGGCCATATTAAAAAATCTCAGCAAATCCGTGGGCCAGCTGTGTTTATTTATTTTATTTATTTTTATTATTTTTTTCCTCCCCAATTTAGTAGTTTCCAATTCCACCCACCTAGTTAGAACCCCCCTAATCACTCGCTACCACTAGCGGTGAGGGTGAGCACAAGCCAAGTCCTGTGAAGCTCTGCTGCATCTTTTCGAACTACCGCTAACGCAACGTCATTGGACAGCCGAACGTGGGCCATCCTACCCACCCAGAGAGTGAGGACAATTGTGCTGTCTTGGACTCCCAGACACGGACGGCGTTTTTATTTTATTTTTACTTAACATTTTGCCACGACCCCAATGGGCCATTGTTCATTAAAAATATGCCAGAACTGCAACAGCAAAGTAGGCACTGAATACTTATTCAAAAATAATTCCAAAATATTAAATAAATTGTTTTAGGTAGTTGTTTTGCTTGATCCAAACACCAGGCGTCTTTTATGGAACTCAAACTCTGTTGCAGTGCATGCTGGGAAATGTAGTGAATCTCAGGGTGAAATGGGTTAATGAGAATAGGATAGGAGAATAGGAACGTGTCATGGGCCTGACTTATGTTTAACACATGGGATTTAAAGGTATAATTTCGTCTTATTACTTTCAGACTGTCTGATTTCTGTATTTAGTTTCACAGTTCGTAAATTGGTTTCACATATTACTGTAACTGTTGTTAATAAACATAGCACAGCTATTAATGCAGTTTATGGGCACACTGTGAATTAGAAAATTAATAGACTTATTTACTGATGTCGCCTAATCAAAAGTGTAATTTGTAAAACTAGCAGTATTTAACCGTCGTCTGATCAAACTTATTTTCAGACGTATCTTAAAGAGTTCTTTGATTGATGCCACAGAAAACTCAGTTCTAGTGAAAAAGAGCTGAGTGTGAAGAACCTTTCAAAAGGTTTTTAGGTTAGGTTCTTCTTTAAATTTTAAAATGGTTCTTGACATTCACTCTTATTTACAAAAATTGAACCTTCCACTCAGATTTTTTTAGGGAACTGAAGGTGTTTCTTTGATGGCATCTCGCAAAGAGGCCTTTGTTTTAAAGAGTCTGCTCTGGTAACAAGTACTCAGATTACGCAACCCATATTACTAGTACTCTGCAAGCCAGACTGCTGTTTATCTGATTATCTTTAGAGTGTGCAGCCAATAACGTGGCCAAAAGCTGACTACTTTAACAGGAAAGGGCCTTTTGACTGATGTACAGAACAGCCAACAACAGATTTTGTTTGATGCACATGGGCAGGCGATTCTCAAAATGGGGCTACAACAAAAACAGACTTGTGCCAAAAACACTGGTATGCAAATATTAGAGAATCTCTTGCTTAAAAGCTGAAATGCTTCAAAGAAAGCTCTTAAATACCTTCTAGAAATGTTGCGCCACTGCTTTTTTTGTAAAAGTTTCCAATTTGACAAAATAAACCTGGTGCATGGACGTTTGAAGCCAGAATGACAAAACCTGATAGTTTGTACGTGTGGGCGGAGCATTCGAGACTGAGACTGAGACTAGTTACTACACTGAGCATGGTAAAGTGGTATTATTTTCTTAATTACATTTTTTTTTCTAAATTAAAAAAAAACTGCTATATTACTACGAATTACGGACTGTTACGAGTATGAGTGCTATGAACTGAGCACTCTACCCCAACACTGGAAATGCATTATAGCAATAAAGCTTCTTTATTCTCTCACTCTTCACTTCTTTCCTTTCATTTTCTCCTCCTGTTCCTGGTGCAGACACATAACGCAAAGCCCCACATGTCCCACTCTCCTTCACGTAGCTTTCCCAGCCGACCGCATGAGCGCACAACGGCCATTAAAGTGCCCAGGGCCAGATGTGGAGCTGTGTCTGAATAATCGGATTTAAAGCATGGCTCACTCCAAGTCTTTGAACACTTTAAATGCCACCTTAAGCCAATTTACCTGCCATCAAAGGCTGCTTGATTTGCTGCAGCGGAAATGGCTGATAGCGTCTCGGCCATGACGCTCTGCACCATACACTAAACAGCCCTACTGAAGCTTCTGGAAACACTGTCATACTTCACAGTCTACAGCCACAAGATATTCCAGCGCCAAGCACCATCAAGAGCTATAGGGGGAGCAGCCGTTTTGCATAATCCTACATAATCCATTTTTTTGTGTCCTTGCACTCTGCAAGCAAAGGCCTCTACGTGGGTCCACACTTCCTAATTCCTCAGTCTCATAATTACATACAGTATAGATTAGTTTCATAGTTGCTAATGAATAATTCCTGGTAGTTAGTGAGTAACTCAGAGGAGTTACTGAATAACTTACAGTAATCACTGAGTCAATCCTAGTAGTGATTAAGGGGGCAGTCATGGGCTGGAGGTTAGGGAACCAGCCTTGTGACCGGAAGGTCACCGGTTCAATCCCCTCAGCTGACAGTATGTGACTGAAGTGCCCTTGAGCAAGGCACCTACAACTGCTCCCCGGGTGCTGTGGATAGGGCTGCCCATCGCTCCGGGCAAGTGTGCTCACTGCCCCCTAGTGTGTGTGTGTTCACTAGTGTGTATGTGGTGTTTCACTGCACGGATGGGTTAAATGCGGAGGTCTAATTCCGATGTGTTCAGACACAGTTGGCTAAAATGTTCATTTCATTTCATTTTCATTTCAATTCATAGTGGTTAGTGAATAATTTACGGAAGGTACAGAATAATTTGAAGTAGTTACTGAATAATCTGTAGTAGTTTGTAAATTCATAAGGCTCAGTGTGCATAATTTATTGTAGTCACCAAATCATTCATAGAAGTTTGTGAATAAATCATAATAGTACATAATTTGTAGTGCTTTGTGAATAATTTTCAGTACTTACTAAAGAATTCCTAGTAGTTATGGAACATTTCATGGAAGTTACTGAATAATTCATAGTATTTACTGAATAATAGCACTTACTAAGTCATGTATAGTGGTTAGTGAATAATGTATAGTAGTTAATATGTGTAGTAGCACAGTCTTAAGACCCATGTGTCAAACTCCAGGCCCACAGGCCAAGTCAGGCCCGTGGCACAGCCCTATTCGGCCCACAAAACTATTTTAATTTTCTACTATTATCAGCCCGTTTCACCCTAAGCTGCACTACAGTCCCCAGCATGCACTGCTACATAGTGTACGTTCTAACCCTCTTTCTCCAACAGCAATAGGTTAAAGTGCCTACCCCCTGACATTTAAAGAGGTTTAACAGTTATCTGTAGCCAATGTAGCCTATTGTTATATATAATACACTTTATTTTTATTTTGAATTATTTTTGAATAGTTCATGTATTCAGTAAAGGCGGCACGGTGGTGCAGTGGGTAGTGCTGTCACCTCACAGCAAGAATGGCCTGGGTTTGATTCCCGGCCGGGTGACCAGGGTCGTTTCTGTGTGGAGTTTGCCTGTTCTCCCCGTGTCTGCGTGGGTTTCCTCTGGGTACTCCGGTTTCCTCCCACAGTCCAAAAACATGCAGTCAGGCTGATTGGACATGCTAAATTGCCCCTAGGTGTGACTGTGTGTGTGAATGTGTATGTCTGTCTGTCTGCCCTGCGATGGACTGGCGACCTGTCCAGGGTGTATCCTGCCTTCCGCCCAATGACAGCTGGGATAGGCTCCAGCACCCCACCGCGACCCAGAAGGATAAGCGGTTTAGATGATGTATATGTATGTATTCAGTACCTATTTTGCAGTTTTGGCATATATTGAATAAACAATGGTTCAGTTGTGGTCATGATGTTCAGTAAAAATGAAATAAAAACAGCTGGCCCATGCATTGTTGACACTTTTTAACATGGCCCTTTTAGTGGTTGAGTTTGACACCCCTGTCTTAAGACTGAAGGAATAATCCATTAGGAATAGAATAGTTGAGTCAAAAAAGAAATAATTTAGTCCATTACCAATAATATCATGAAAACAAACAACTCTCATTTAGAATTACACAAAATACATATTAATTAGTGACTACTGACTTCCATTTGCTGTTAGCCATATCAGCTCGTTTGAAGCTGTTCCTTTAGGAGTGGGAGGTTAACGTGAGGCACGACCTGAATCTTTCTGAGTTTCTTTTTCCAGCGAGCTAAAGTGACCACACAGAGCCTTAAATATTATAGCTGCTCTTTGTGTTTCCAAGTGACGCCAGGAATGAAGATCTACATTGATCCGTTCACCTATGAAGACCCCAATGAGGCAGTGAGAGAATTCGCCAAGGAGATCGACATCTCATGTGTGAAGATTGAGCAGGTCATCGGAGCAGGTAACATCAGACCTATTTCATTTCGTACATTTATCCTCCCTTTTCTCCTATAAGATTCAAGAGGGAAACATAAGGTTATAAATTATTCTTTCCATATTGATATTATCAGGATTTCTGGAACACTGACAAGCTGCATGGATGATAAGAGAAGATTTAGACCAGTTGTAGAAAACCTGTAAACAACAACAACAACAAAGTAGCTGCTAGGATGCCAGCCTAATTCACCACCACCATAAAATACACCATTTTATGTCACCACTGTTTTCAGCACTACAGTGTATTGCTGTATCAGTGTCTTCAAGTATTGTGATGTTATAGTTTTGCCATATCGACCACCTTTAAGAGCGAGCTCTGTCCTATTGCTCTTCAGGAGAGTTTGGGGAGGTGTGCAGTGGGAACCTGAAGCTTCCCGGGAAGCGCGAGATGTTCGTGGCCATTAAGACGCTGAAATCTGGATACACAGAAAAGCAGAGGCGGGATTTCCTGAGTGAAGCGAGCATCATGGGACAGTTTGACCACCCCAACGTCATCCATCTGGAAGGAGTGGTGACCAAAAGCAGCCCCGTCATGATCATCACTGAGTTTATGGAGAATGGCTCACTGGACTCCTTTCTGAGGGTGAGTGAACAACACAGACACACAGCACTTTTGTTTTTATTGGCGTCCCCTCCCATTTTTTCTCCTGGGCACATCGTACATCTTTACATACTAACCTCACACGCACAGCCTCAGAAAAAGATCTGGCCCAATCCAGATTTGATGACAATACCAGATAATTTACTTAGCCTACGTTCACAGTACCAGGTTGAAGTGACAGAAATCAGACTTTTGCCCTAATGTGACTCAGATCTGTATGGACACGCAAATCTGATCCTTTCAAATCCGACCTGAGTCACTTTCATATGTGGTTCTAGATCAGATACGTATCTGATTTCTGGCCATGTGACCTTAATGTGACGCTCAGATCAGAATTCACGTGCTTTCTTTCCACTGCACTGCTCCATCATTCAGCGTTACCATGGCAGCAGCGCCGAACAGAAGTTAAAGCCTGTAAACGGTGGAAAAGCAGCTCATCTCACCTTTTTCTCCTTCGTCTCGCTCTAATAATGAAGCTGAGAGCTGATCAGAGTTAATTATCTTCTCAGCGAAGCTCGTTCTGCTCGTTAGTTTGTGCTGATGATGCTCGTGATTCATTCACGTGACGTTACTGAGTAGGATGAGCTCATGAGGGTCATTTCTGGACGCCGGTTCGTCACATTAATGACAGATTAGAATCACTTACCTAACGAGTGTGAACCATCGTGTCAGAGAGATCAGATTTGAGCAAAAAATTGGATTTAGGCAATAAGGCCTGAAATGTGAACATAGCCTTCCATCCTCAGAAGACACATCCTTCACCAAGCTTTAACCAAACTTGAACTCTGAGGAAGGGGTTCAAACACAACCCACATTACAAAATGTTCTTGCGTACTTTGCAAGCAAATACAAATTCCACTGGAGAGGTCTCCAAATCCCCCAAACTTACATAGGTTAGCTTTAAAATGTAGCATTTCCAGTGTTTTACTTTGATCAACAAAACTGTTTTTGAAAATTGCTTTGACTTAGAATTGATGCAAGCTTTACGAAGGCTTCCGATCCCCTTTTAAAGATTTTTTTAATGGTACAAAAACCGAACAGTTTATTTCTTCCAACTGTGTTTAGGTTTATGCATCATCAATGCATCGTTCATGCACAGAATGGTTTAGCTTTACAATAAATGGACATACTTTTTTGGGGGGGTGGGTGCAAAGTGAGCCCTGTTTTCTCTCATTTTCCTACATTTCTGACACTATATGAAAACAAACACACACACACACACCTGCTCCTCGTTTTAGAGCTCATTAAGGCTGGTAAATATACTCAGACATTTGTCATTGTTCATTGTGATGTCGTGCATAAACTACATTTCTAAGTCATTCTTTTCAGACCTGCTATATCCTGTGTTTTCTTTTGTTCTTGTATTGGACTTTTGCCTATTATGTCATATGGTTTTAAATAATTATGCCTGTGGTAGCTCTGCCTACCTGTTTAATGTCTGTTGCATGTAATGATGATGAAGTTTGGATTACAGACATTCGCACCTGCATCCTGCCGCATGCACATTGCACTCACTGTTTGCCTGTAGACATTTAGGCTACGTTCACACAGCAGGTAAAAGTGGCCCAAATCTGATTTTCTCACCAAATCACCAAATTGTTTGACTGTTCAGATTATCTTTTAAATGTGATCTGTATGCGACATCAGTCTGAACAGATCAGCTCCTAGACTGACCCGTATGCACAAAAGAACAGAGCGTCACGCTGCTTCACGGCTCATCCAGAGGTAAACAATCACGACCGCCAACGAACGCCAGTCGCTCCCAGAGGATCAGCTTCATCTTCACCAGCATCACAGGAGCCATCATAAGATTCACTGTCTGACAGCTGGGCTCATCACCCAGAATGTGTTCGAGCCATAAAAAGGCGCGGTCACTTCTTTGGTTGGTGTCCTCGGATTCTTTAAACTTTGCTTTAAGACTTTTAACTGTTCTTTGACGCTGCAGCCTCGTTCTCCTGCGGCCGCGTTCAGACATTTCTTCAGAAATCTCTTCAAACACGGAGGGTTTTGGATTCATCTCTTCTAATTTCTGTACAGAAATATCAGCCTAAATGTTTATGAGGACGAATGTTGAGTTGGATTGACATAAAAACCGCATGAATTCTGATCTGGCTGTTCAGACTGAGTCGCATTGCCACATATCAGATACGGATCAGATTTCAGTACCACGTATGAAAGCGTCTCAAATCAGGATTAAAAATGTCAGATTCAGTGTGTTTATCTGTTCACACTGACACACAGACACTCATCTGTGTCACATATGAAGAAAAAGATCGGATTTGGGCCACTTTTACCTGCTGCGTAAACATAGCCTTAGACACTTAAACATTTTAGGCCCAAATGCCCCTTTGAGGACTCGACTCAAGGGTTTGATGATTAGGTATGCAGTTTGCATGATGCTAATTGGTGTGTATAAGCTTCCATTGGTAGTTAGCTACATTAGCCTACCAGCATCCAGTGCAAAACTGAAGAAGCAAACTTTGGGCAGTCTGATTTAAGATAGGGAAAAATCTGTGAATTTGATTTTTCCATCAAACTATTATTTTAAAAAAATGCATACAACATCTGTAATGACATTTGGTTTAAAAAAGAAAAATTAGCATAGAAAATATATCAGAATCCTTTAAATCCTTCCAAACATCATAAGTGCACACATACCCAGGCACCTCAGCGTGATCAGAAACACACACAGACATGTAACTGAATGAAAATCCCTCATTAGTGCATGTGTGTGCGCGTCAACATGCACGTAATTTCAAATATCTGTTCTTTATTTATCACAGTGTCCATCCAGTAATCCCCTTCAGGGGTTTTTCCTCTAATACCCAATCAGGCCTCTTCAGCCGGCCTCCCCATGGTGCATATCTACTCTCTGTATTGATTTGCGCTGTCATTCTGTTCCAATAAGCCCCCAACACTCTTGCCTTCATCTCCATGGGTCGCCACGCTAACATTTGCTTTGAGATTGAGCTCGCTTTGAATAAAGGCAGTCCAGCATTCCTTGAAGGCTTGTTCCGTTGCTAGTCATGCCCTCGTATCGCATTGGTCACGCTAGAGCTAATTCACTCCCCACATTATGAACTTCAGGGCTCTCAGCTATATTAATAGACATATATTCCATATATACTAAATGTACATCATAGAGTACATTGATCAGAAATGTGGGCGTGATGCCAAACGCTTTAATCTCAAGCATAATTCATGCCTATGGAAGTATATGGCTTAGCCTTCTGCTAGCATCTGTAGCAGCTCAGATGTTTAGCTAAACTTAGCATAGTATATAACATCCAATGATTAACACTCTGTTTCAGATTTCATTAATTAAGCCGTGTATAGCGTTATTAGCATCTTTTTAAAAGTCACAGTTGAAGTAAATGGCCGCTACAGTCTCTTTTCTTTTTTGGGTTTAATTTCATTCTGTTACATTACAGCATCTGTGCTGCACGTTGCCTACACCTCTCACTTTACAGCTTTAGCATTTTCAGCACTGCCAACTTTTACATTTTTTGTTAGGGGGAGAATTCAGCAGGCCAGGACGAGGGCTGGGGAGTGGGTGGTATGGTTTAGGTGGGGTTCTGTTTTTTTGTTTTTTATAGTATTTTTTAGTATTACTTAGTAAAGGGGTCAGCAACCCATATCTCTCAGTGTGTGCTGATGTGCTAGTATAGGCTAAAAAATATAATATAAACAAAAACACAGACTTACTTTGCTCTGCTTTAAGCTTCAGCTCAGCTACAACCGCTTTTCTCACATCTCCAGCAGGAAACTTTTCTCAAAAGCAAAATAGCTTCTTGTAAAATGTCTCTCAACATTCGATTTTTTATGAAGCTTAAGTCAGCTCCTCGCTAAATAGTGCCTGGCAGTAACTGCTGCACCATTTAAGGTGGAATGGGAAAATTCAAACGAAGAAGCTGGCGAATGAGAAACTGACTTCAGCTTTACGACTTTTTAGTGTTTGACAGTTTCTTGTTGCAGATTAAACGTATCAGCAAACCAGCAGGAGTGATTATAAACAAAAAATGTCAATTTGTCTCCAAATTTTCGATGTTCGTCTTAAATCTCTCTCTTTGCCATTTCGTTAGCTACTAGCTAGGCGAGACTGTTGTCTGTGTTGCTATGGTGACCAGCAGTCTGCGCTGATCTTCAGGGTTAAAGGGTGAATTAGCAGTTCTACATTAACTCCAGAGTTTAAGACCATTTATTGTTAAACTGTGTTGAACGATCAGCAGAGCTTTATTTTACTGTAAAGGAGGATTATTTTATTATTACCTACAAATCTGATTCTGCTTTTAAAGATTTTCAGTATATTTGAACAATATCACACTAATCATCATGGAAAACATTAATCAAAAACATGGGACCAGTGCCAGATATTTTAATGTCATGCATTTGAAATTGGAAGCCAAGTATATAGTTTTAAAGTGCGTATGACCAGGCCTTCTGCTAGCATCTGTCCGTGCTAACTCATTCAGAGGTTTAGCTGAAAGGAAACGTCTCTTAAATCTCAGGGAAATTGAGAAATTAGAGGAGGAGGTCGCCACCAAGAATCAGCATGACTGGCTCTGGCAGTTTCCTATGCAATATAACAGCCAGTGATTATCATACCGTTTCAAATTGCGGTAATTCCAATAGCCATGTACGATTAGCGTCTTCTTAAAAAGTCACGGTGGAAGTAAACACTGATAATCTTGCTGCAAAGCACACGCCAGGACAGCCTGTTTACATAGTTATAATGGGAACAGCAAGCAGTAGCAGTGTTAATAATTTCATTATTACTTAAATTGTAGTTTAGGTTGTGGTGTTAGAAAGAAATAAATGAGCTTCCATAAACAAATCTGCCAGAATCATACCTGTGGTTAAATTATTACTCTGTATTGTTGTGTTTTTTTAATAATCCTGCAAGAATCACTGTGGAATACCGTGATCAGAAATGTGGGAGGAAGGCCAAATGCTTTACTCCCATAAATAATTCATGCATTTGG